TATGTTTTGGTAATTTTGGACTCTGTCTCCCCTTGTCAGCAAAAAAAATAAGCAAATCGCAAACCCCTCTTATATTTAATATTATAAGCAAATGACAACCCCCCCCCCGTCTTTTTTTTTTCCACAAAACGTATAACAGTAATAATCTAATTTAAAAATTTAGGACTTAATTAAATAAACTTTAACTCGGCTTAAATGAAAAAAACTATATATATTTAATTTCTTACAATTGTAGCTGGCAGTACTTAGCTATCATGTCAAAAATTCAAGCTTAATCTTTTCTTTTGCCAAATTTAATTTTTAAAGTTATTGCTGCAAGTTACAAGAGATTTCGAAATAAAGTGGTGTTTTAATGTCTTACGTAAGCATCACTTCCACACCCTCCCCTTGTCACAAAAAAATAAGCAATCAAACCCCCTCCCCAGGTGCTTGCTGCACATTTGAACGGTCCCCAAGGGAAAACCTCCCCCCAAAAAAAAACCCAATGACAGCTGACACTATCCACTCCCTGAGACTTCCTTTTCCCCAACCCATCTTAGGAGTCACGCTATGAAGAAAGCGCACGCTGTGGCTAAGTGAAATCAATCACACTTAATGGTGGGGTGAAATTTTACAGTGATATTAGGACGTTCTGACGGTCGCCGTCTTTGCTTGAAGGACGTTGACCTTCTGTATCCATAGAGCTCACCTAAGGATAAAAATTTTCGTCTTCAACAAACGTCGCCGCCTAGAGAATCAAGCGTTACTGGCATGTATATCAAGCCAGCAGCGCATATAGAAGCAAGGGGTTGCTAAGCAAAGTTTATATCAAGTTGCGTTAATCAAATCAAGAATCCAGATTCAAAGTGCTTTCCAACTGTCTGATGTCATGTTTTCAAAAAAGGTGAGACCAAGTAGGGGACAGTGAACACCAGGCAACTAAGCGCATGAGGTGTCCAGTTTATAAAAAATCTCTTTGCATTTCCTTTTCCCCTTTGTTAAACTTATGTTAAAATTAATTAGAATGTTTATTGCTGTGAATATGTTTTGCGAACGTAGCAGGATCCTAAACATATTAAACAAAATGTTGCAGTTTTGCTTATAAAGAGTTTTTTGCTATTTGTAAAATTTCATGACTGATATTTCAATTGAATGCTGAAAAATTTGGTAGGGTTCAAAACAAAAACTCTTCACCAGGATATTTCATTTCCTTATTTTAGATGGAAATTCTTCTCAAATAATACTATTATTATCTCTGAATAATAATATAAGTTTAACTTACGGAAATTTGTCCAAGTATTTTTTTAATATTCCTTATTTAATTTTGCTTCAATTTTAACGTTGTTGTTTAACAATCAGATAGTTTCAGCTACATGCATAACATTTGCTATTTTGATAAATTCTTGCTTAATTTAACAGCAAATCTTTGATAAAGGGGAATTGAAATTTGCTTTAACTCACAGAGGTGATTTACTTTCCTTTAATACTAATCATTTCACAATGGAGATAATTAAATAATGAATAAAATGTGTTCAAAGTTAAATTCATTTTCGCTGTAACGTTTGAATGAAAAAATAACATTTACAGTGATTTGTACAAAAACACTTAAATTTGTTGTAATACTAAATACAAGTAGTGAAGGAACAATTTCTTGCCTAAAAGAAATCGCTTTGGAAAATTGCTTTTTTAAATATTTTATTTTTTGATGCAATATATCAAAAGAGCTCTAAAAAAAGTTTCTGCGTGACATATTTTTAAGAAGTTTTGTCACGTTGAAGGGTAAATATGCTATTAAAGAGATAAGAGTTTAGCTGAAAAAGTATACTAGAGTTCTGCTTATTCCTTTAACATCTATAATGGGCATATACTTAAAAGGAAGATGAGCAAAGAAAATCTTACAAAAACAATAATACTATTGTCTATTTCTGTGCTGGGCCACTCCAGCAACTAAAATTAAATTAAATAATTTTAAAGGTATTTTCGAATCTTTTCTTGGGCCAAAGCTTGGAATGCAACATAATAGTGTTGGCCAAAAATCGACTAGTGGTAAGTTGGTGTTAGAGGCATGTGAATGTGGCCCCAACAAGCAGGATAATACACACAATAAATGACGGTTTATGAATATTCCAGAAAAGAAAAATGTAGCACAGGTACAAAACTAAGCAGCGCTTTTATAAATTAATAACTCAGCCATGCAGTAGATCAGTGATAAATGCCGTCGCAATTTAATAGCACTAAATGTCTATCAGTTCGCCTGTTTGCATTGCTGACCAAACTCCAACGGACTCACTCTTCGTTTAAGAGCTTGTTTTTTATACCTTGATTGAAGGTTCTTTATATTTGCCCTGTGGAGATAGGGGCCACCTCTTTGTATTTTCTAGACGCTTCTGTTTTGTCGCCAAAACGCTGATTTATTGCTGTTGCCAAATGGTCGTCAGGGCCGGGGTTCATTGATTGGCTTCTAGTAAAACCTCTGTAAATATCTTTTCTACCATATATGTTTAGTAGTTAGGAAACAATTTTACATCTTCGTAACAATAGACTATAAAATTATTTGACAAAAAAATAAAGATAAGCTCGGAAAGTTTCTTAAGATCTCTTTAGTGTTTAAAATTGTCTTAATTTAAAATTAAAATATCCTACCCAGAGATATTAACATGATAATGTTTCTTTAGTTTGGCATACTATTTGTAAATTCAGACAAAAGTGATGCAAAAAAAATAGTACAAAAAACACTTTTTCAGGAGATCATAAGTATAGAGTCACCAAATCAAGTAATGCACGTAGTTATTTCTTGGGTAGTAGGTATTCTGAAGAAAGGGTATTAAATTTTTTTATTAGATTTTAATTAATTATCCTAACGTTCCAGCTAATCTGGGACATCAGGTTACTTTGTAATGCTTGGAAATTTAAATTAAATTTTTTATTTAAGTTTTTAAAAATCGAGTCTAGTTCATTTTTTTTCTTATCAGGGTTACTTAAGAGTAAAATTCTGGACAAATAGTTAAATCCAGAACGTCTGGTCGCCTATTCTAGTTCCAATTTTAACTGTTCATAAAACTTCAAGTGACTAAGATTACTTTCTTTTGAAAATCACCTGCAAGTTCCGGAAAGTCTGCATTGAGTATATGTATTGGTATATGCTATTAATATACCAAATACTTTTCGTACCGTAGAGCATGTCTGCTTTCCTATGAAAATGCAAGTTCGCAAAGATCTGATAATACTGATTGCTGCAGTCAGTTACGAAATGAGGGAATTTAGTCTCAAGGCTTCCTGAAATTCGTTCTGTGCCTCCAGCTTGTATCGCTACAAGATAAGGTATTGTGAACTTGCGCACAGTCGCATTTGCGATAAGTCATTATTATAGTGTTCTTCAAGCGCTGGAAAGTTGCAATATTGTAAACTTTATCGATGTCTATATGATTCGACTTAGTTTTGGCGCATTGAAAACTCTTACATAAGGCAATCAATCAATGTCAGTAGGAGAATGACACTTCGTGCCCCTGATAACACAACGATGCTTCCTGGGAAAGTGTTAAGGACCTTAATAACTTATTTTCTAAAAAACAAGTAACTATTACAGATATACTGAATAAACAATAAATAATCCATATAAATTGACCGTTATGTTAAATTGAAAGTACATGAATAATGTAATTATCAATTCTTTCTGGGAAAGTGGTGATTATCTCTGAAAAGAACCACTACACATCAATCACTTCTAAGTATGCATTCTCTATTGCCCCTCTAGTTTTCGCCAAAATTTCCTGCCAAAGGTAATTAGGATCTGTAAACTCTTACAATGTGCGCAAATTCCACTAGTTAATGATGTGAAATGCGCCTGTGCACATCGACACAGAACCCAAGATAAATATTTTCAATCAAATTCGCCTCACAAATGTGTGCGTTGGAAGCTCATAGGGCAGGTGCTGACGCAAATATCATTCCTTTGATCTCATTCCTAGTCCATATGATCTCCTTTACCTTCAAAACGGACGTTAATCTAGCAATACAGAATAAAGAAGTCTCATGGTACGTGAGAGAATGGGGCCATTTTTTAAAAGACTCACATTTATTTATGGTAGCAAAGGAAGATACTATGCTGCTAGAGATGATTTCGAATATCTAAAAAGACAAAACATAATAATAGAAGAAATTTATTTGATGTGCAAGTGCATCATCATCCAGGGAAAGCCCTTCTAGTAAATATTTTCTTTCTAATTTTGTTCCGAAATGGGTTCCAGACCCTTGGAGGAAAATTCAAATTTAGACTGTAAAGTCGTTTTTTCTCTTCGACAGAAAACCTATTTATTTTTGAATCTGCATGGAGAAAGCCCTTGGTGACATCATCAGATTCTATTCCTCCTCGTTCTTTTCATCTGTTGTTTGTTACTATTATTGTATTTTTGCCTCTTTCACAATTAAAACTTTCCTTAATTCGTATTTATATCTCAAGTTAGATGAATGATCTTGCGGCCATGCATCGCAAGGTTGCATCCTAAAAAGCATGTCCCTTTATGAAATGCATCATGCAGCATTCGTTGATATGCAAGTACGACCGTCATCGAAAATGACCGAAAACTGTAGTAATTTCTTACTTAATGATCTCCACCTAGAATGAACCTGGATGTAGAGAATACACATACTTTCATCCCCGTACTGAAAAGGTTTTCCTGGTGGGATCGTTTAAAACTTATGCACAACCCAATTCTTGAGAACATTGTTGCATCGAAATGAATTACTTAGTTAGATTATATTAACACGAGTGCTATTTGTGGAAGGACCTCGCAATTTTGTACTGAGGTCAGATGGCGAGAACGACACCTGAGATAGCACTCTCCTCTCCAAACTTCCGCACTACGCCAGCGGGAGGCCTTGCATCAAGAATGATGATTTATTTGTCCGAAAGTATAAAAAATGAAATCATTGTGTCAGTGTTGGGTAAAATAAACTACTTGATTAACATTAAATTATAAATGTTTTCATTTCTTAAAATAAACATCGCTCTTCCGATAATGGGTTACCAGTGAGGTTTGAAACCACGACCCTGGTTTATTTAGGACCAGTGCTCTAACCACTGAGCTATGGTGGCTAAGTAGAAGAACAACTGATCGCCATTATTTTGAAAGAGCCAGCTGCCTTTTGGTTGACTTTTATTTGCAGAACTGCCATTCACCTCTACATCTCTCATAAAAAAGAGAAAAGGAGGGATTTAATAGAAGATTTTCTGCATTATATTTAAAACAGCACGGCGAGCAAATATCGATATGGATCAGCCAAACAATAAACTCTTAGATTTAAGGAGCATTATCCTTCCAAAGTAAACAAAAATTGTTGTTGTTTGGTCTACTTCTGCCGAATCTTTTTTTTAAAGCATTTTTTTCTGTATTTCGATATTTTTGCATAATTTACTCAATTCTTGAAATACTAAGATAACGAAAAATGTCATAGAGATAAATATACGATTGCATCAAATGAGAATCGTTGTTAGTATCACGATCGTGACTGACTGATTTTGCCTCAATCATTTGCAACACAGAGCTATAACTGCTTCTTGAGACGTTGTAGTGATACTCTTCTTTGCCGAGTACCGATTTGGGAAATGATGTTAGAAATATTGATTTCTGGGCAACGGAGTAGAAGTTACGGAGTTCACCTGATTCAATGAAAGCCTTGCACTTCTACATCAGAATTGACTTGCATTCAGGGCTGAATTTCCCATAGGGTCAACTCATTCTCTGGCCCAAGGCGCAGTAGTCGGGGAAGAGGCGTTTAACCTGTTCGAGGTCATTGGTTTTGCAAAATGAAACCAATAACATTGAAATTTTTTTCTGCGCATGGGCGAAACGTGCTTAATTTTTCTTTCACTTTCACTTTAAGAGCCAGATATATACGCCAACTTATATAAAAATTCCAACTAGCAAATTATATTAGTTTTCAGATAGATATCGTACTGTAAGATCTAAATTGCTTTTTACTTAAGAGAAAACAAATGATGAGGGTTCTGCACAAATCGATATTTTTAAAATTGAATTCGAAGGTAATAATATTGAATTTTATGAAGGCTGAATATCCTGAATAATTAATACTTATAAATTAAATACTTAATTTAAATTACTTAAAGATAACTTATTCGGAGGAAAATACTGTTACATTTCATTACTTACTGTGAAACCACCCGTTTCTTTTTGGAAAAGCAACAGCGATATGGTAATTTTTTTTTTTCCTTTACATATTTATGATCAGGGGCGACAGTCTAGTTACTCATTTGAAATAAATTAATAATTTTCAAAAAACGAAACTTGTAGTGAATCCTGAAAGGTTAAACTGAGAAAATTGCAATCAACATTCATGGCGGCGAGTCGGGGGCGAGGGGGGGGTCGCCCTCTCATTTTCGGTGTGGAAAAACAATTTTATTTCATTTTATCTGCTTAAAACCAAGAATTATTAAAACCACAGTGTCCGAGAAAGCACAAGTATGTAGCTAAATTCTTAACTTTTTTTTTGTTGTCTACCTCGTACTCTCGGCACATTTAGGTCTATACACTTCCCTCTTGCACTTTTTTTCCACCCAATCGCCGCTACTGGTCGTGATTATTATTTTAATCACATATCTGTGGCTGCTTTTGTGTATGCAAACATGATAAATTCAAAACGCAGAGAGCTAGATGGATGTGTTGCCAGTGAGGATAGCAATACGTAACTGAACGGAAGTACATCCCCAGAGCCAAGCCAGAATTCTTGATTTTATTTAACATCATTACAACCTGTTTTTTCTTAATTTATCTCTTTTAAAAAATAATAAAATCGTTTCAACATTACTTTCTGGCTCGACTGGCTCGAAAATTTTCCTACTTTTGTAGTCATTCCACTTGTACTTGTAGCTTTGGCATGGTCGAAGACATTTTTTGGCTAGTTATTTCATTGTAATTTTTATTAAATTATCGAAAGTATTGTATTGTTTTTTATGATTCTTATTGTCAGGTGAGTAAAGTCTGTAAAGTTAAAGAGTTTTGGTTTACTTTAGCCTTCAGATTTTACCTTCATCACGACAATACAAAATTTTTATGACCTCAGCCTCCCCCAGACCCGAATCCTAGATTCGCTACTGGTCTCGCTTCTTATTACAGTGCCTCAAAATTGCAAAATTCGCCCTCCCTTATCCCTTCTAAAGCTTCCAAAACGAGATCCTAGTATAATAAATCAAATCCATTATGATACTTAAAAATGAGCTTTACTGCTGAGATCGAATGGTTAGCTTAATGACGTTATGAAATAAATCAATTGATTTATCTAAATTATAGCTATGCTTCTAGTGTGATCACTCTCTCCAAGTTCGTAAAAATATAGCAGGTATTAAAAATATGCTGTCTCATATTATAAGCACTAGTAAAAAAAACTCTAACAGGGTCCTATTCAGGAACTTGATACGGGTGAAGGGATGAGAAGGGTATGAATTTCATCCCATGCAAGTGCTCTTAACCCCATTCTTCAAAATCTATTAAATCAGTCGGCACCATAGCAAAGAGGCCGGTACTGCTGTAAGTTTTCCTGTAAGCGAAACACAAATGTGGACCAGTCTCCCGCTGAAAGTGGGTAACTTGCAAGCAACCTACCTTCTCATATATTAAAGCCGGCCATTATATTATAGCATATTAAAGCCGGCGATTCACTTCACAGACAAACTGTCGATTTTGCAAAGCGAGAAGGGAAAAGCGATAAAAAAATCTATGGAAATGAGCCAAACGGCTTGCCGTGGTTGGAATTCTGTCTGGACTGAAATTAAAATCTGGTGACTGGGGAAAATCGAAAAGCGATTGACAAGCAGCTGTAGAGAGGGATAGAAAATCGCTCCCGCCACCTTCGTCCTTTAACTCTTTAATCCCGAAGCCACTTTTTTCTCCTTTAAAACCGGGCTATTTTGGGAGGCTAAGACATGAATTGGACTATCCCAACCTGGGTGGTCATTTATCCCACCACCCCACCCCTGCTGTAACCTTCCCTTACGGTGCAAGGAAATGGGCTGTGGTGGGCAGGGATAATTGGAGCCCCTAACACGCTTATCTCCTAAGCGATCTCAGAAACTCACCTCCCCTTAAAAGAAGCCAACCCCCTCAGACCGACCTTCGTCATTGTTAAAGGAAAATTTCTAGACCGCCTCGCTCGGCATGAGAGGGTTAAAATACAAGTGAATGACGTGCCTGTTTCTTTCTTTTAAAATGGGTGGGTAAAATACCGGGCTTAGGACAAATGGCTTCAAGTGAATGGCCGGCTTTGGAAGTGACTTCCGTAAGTCAGATTTCTACCTCTGGTGTTACCTAGGTGCTCCAAGGTCTCTTTAACCAGCAGAAGACGGAACAGAGCTGTGCAAAGAAATAAACCAGCATATCCATTCGTTTCTGATAACGGTTTGTTTCGAATAAATATATTATATGGGCAAATTTACTGTTCTTAGATGTTTAAATTAAGATTTCAAGGTCAAATCTAGAGCCACTGCTTGCAAATTTTAATGTTTTTTTTTTTTAAATTTAAGTATCATTTAGCATAGCATATTAGCTACTGTCAAAGATGTAGTAAATATTTGAACACATCATTAGTTTCTAAAATAAAATAAATATTTCTCATTGTGCTCAAAATTTATAATCAAACATGAACACTCCTTTTTTTTGCATGCCAATTAACTAACTAATATATTCAAGAAAAATTGGGAGAAATCTTATAAAAACCAATTAATTTTCTTTAAATGAATCGATTAAACGGATTCATTTTCGATTAAATGAGAAAATGAATCTATTAAGGAGAAACAATAAATCGTGTTATTGCAATGTGTCGAAATCTTTTCGTGCTTTAAATGCTAATATTCCAAAATAACAGTTATTACCATTTTTCTATCTTCTAAAATATTTCAAAATGTGCTTAAAAAAGCTAAAGCAATTCCTAATATAGCTACTTTATATTCCGCCGATTTTTTTCCCCTTCTATACTTCTCTAAAAACCTGTGACAGACATATGAAGAAGGAAGGGAAAAAAAAAACGCAGTAAGATTATTTAATAAATCAGTAGATGGCAGCACGCTGGCAAATTTATGACGTAAGAGAACAGTAAATCGTACGAAGAATAGCCGTCTAATGTGAATCGCTCGATATTGTTCGATGTGTAATATTGTTCATCAATGTTTAAAAAGATGCATTTGCATTATTCTCGCATTTTTATTGATCGCATTAATTTGACAGTATTTTGATAATTACCCTTAGAAATAAAAAAAGAAAAAGGTTTAGGCTCTATTTTAAGGCGTTCTAGATACAAATGTTTCGTTCGTAGTTCATTTTCTATAAAAATCTCGCGTTTATATAAAACTGCAACGACTTCAGCCACCAGTGAGGTTTGAACTCACGACCCCTGGTTTACGAGACCAGTGCTCTAACCACTGAGCTATGGTGGCACACATTCGCTGAGACAGGTTAAAAATGAAAACACCTTTATTGCACCATTCGCAGACATAAAAACCGCAATCTTGTTACCATAAAATCCCGCTATCTTATTATACGAGTCAATTACTGAGTAATTTGAACAAGAGCAAAGTTGATGATTATAAGCTAGAAGAATAGCCGGATTATATAAGAATATCTAGATTTTATCTCTGGTTACATTTCACGCTAAGAACGAAATTATCATCTTTGTCAAGATAGTGATTATAAATTCAGGATAGACAGTAAAAGTCGATGCACGTTTTTAAGCTTGTTTGTTAGAATAGGGTTTCGTTTTAATGATTTGTATTAGCTTTATTTAGCAGCTCTACGACGGTTAATTTCAGACGAAACTCGTAATTTTGAACCACTATCAGATGGCGAGGAAGACATCTGAGCCAGTACTTCCAACTCTAAACTTCCGCGCCACACCAGCTGATCACGAACCCTTGACCCTCCGGTTCAGAAACCTAAACTTCCACGGCCCGGTGACTTTTGCTGAAAGACTGTGAAATTAAGAGCGGTAATTATTTGATATGAACGATCATCTGTCTTTAAACTTTCAAGCCATGGCCATGTTTGAGACAAATTTAATTTACACCATAGTGGCTCGCATTCAACCGCA